AGCAAACGTGGCACAGGGACCGTGCCTGCAGCGGGAGGTGCTGGGTGTCCTCCTGACCCAAACCCTTCCTTGGAGCATCTTCAGCTGCCAGGAGTTGATGGGAGGAGCTCAGCACTGAGTCTGTGTGGGCATGGACCCCAGGCCCAGGTGTCCCACTGGCTTTTGGGAGGCTCTCCTGCTGAGCATGGAAACAGCTCAAAATGGACTTTTACCCTGGTGAGTGACCACAGACCCCCCTCCCAGCGGGGACATCCCCTTGTGCCCTGTCCCTGGGGAGTGTTGGGAGGAATCACTGGGCACTGCTGTGTCCTTCAGTTCCTTCTCAGCAGGAACAGCTTGGGCTGCTGCTGTACTTTGGGAAACACCATTTTTTCCCCTCTAAATTATGTGCTTGCTGAATTTTTTGTTTTCCCCCACCCCTTCTCTCTGGTGACACACAGGAACTCCTGTGCTGAACTTCCACCATCCCCAGAGAGGAGCCCTGGGGCTTCCCCCACACCCTGCTGGTGACACCCTGCTCCTGTCAGGCTGTGACCACACCACAGCTGTCCCCAGTCTAAATCCTCATGGGATTTCACTTGGAGCCAGGAATTGCCTGTGATGCTGGGCAGAACGTCAGCCTTCACTGTGGTGACAATGACTGGTAGAGGCCAAAATTAACTCTTGCATCATGTGGCCAGGGGTTTTCAGAATTGCTGCCAGGAACAAGAGCATTTCCTCTCTGAAAACCGAGCTATAAAACTGGGTTGATCTTACTCACATCAGATCTGTGTCATTTCTGTTGGCCTTGGGGTTTTTGAGGAGGAAAATAGAGATTGCTCTCGCCCTGGCTGAGTTTTGCCAAACTCACAGAGCCCAGTAAGGGTGGGCAGGCCTTGGCACAGGGTGCCTGGATCCCTGGAAGTGCCCAAAGCCCTGGAGCAGGTGTCTGATCAGAAATCTTATGATGAGAAGTTCATCACCAGGATGACAAGAGAGGATGATGGTTTCACCCCGAAAAAACTCAAATTATGTTGTGGTTGGGTTTTGTCTGTTTTAGGGGCAGCTCTGCCTAATTTTCTTTGTAAAAAAGTGATTGAAAAAGGAGTTGACTCAAGAGAGGAGAGGCAGTGACTGCAGCTCTCAGCCAAGATCCTCCGTGGGCACTCGGGTGCTGGAGCCTTGCCCGTTCCTCTGCCTCCAAATCCCACTTGAACACAACTGCTGAGCTCCCTGGAGCTGGTCCTGAAGGAGCCTTGGCAGGGTGGGTGGGAGGTGAATCTTCCTCCAGGAGGGCTGGGAGGTGCTTGGTTAGAGGCACAGGGAGTTTTTGAATAAGCTCAGGTGTGGTTTTGTGCCTGGTCCTGCCGGAGCTGATGGGAATTTTGCTCTTGGCTGAAGAGCCAATGCAACCTGGCTGTGGAAATGAGACCTGTGCTGCCCTGTCCCACACATTCCAGGCTGTTGATGTCCCTGGCTGTTTGTTGCCACCCCTCAGGTGCTCCAAATGACTAAATAATGATGCCTTTATTTTCTCTAATTTGTGTTTTCTGCATTATCCGCTCTCTATTTCACTCATCAGTGAAATACCTGCCAAAACTCTACCTCAGGAAGGTTTAAAGTGCACACTCCACCTTCAAAGGTGGGAATCACTTGGAGCAGAGGTTTTTAGAGTGGTGGTTGTTGGAAGGCTGCTCATTCTGACCTGTAGCACTCAGATTTTCACCTGGCTTCCTGGAGGCGGAATTCTAGCATGGAATCCTGAGGGTCCTCAGCAGACAAAATCACCTGTACAAACACTGGGCTCCACTTTTGTTTGATATGAACTGGATTTGGGCATGAAAGAAGTAAAACCCAAACTAAGCCTGGCTGCAATTTCCATGTTCCCATAATTGCATTATTTGAGCTTCTTATGGGCTTTGAAACATTTGGTTGTGCAACTGCTGGCAAAGAAATGAAGTGGGATTATTCCTGTTGTGCAGGTGGGAAGCAGCTCAGGAGAATAAGGATGGAAGTTTTCTTGCTTGGGGATGGCCTAAAAGGCCTAAAGATTCCACTTAGACTGCCCTGAAGAGGAATTCCAGCTGGCTGGGGTGAGCTGCCTCCACAGCAGGTGCTCTGTGTCTGGAGATGTTAATTTGTTTGATCACCTCAGTTTTGCATAGGTAAAGTTGGAGGCAATGACTCCTGTCCCTGGACAGACCTGGAGCCAGCGTGGAGCTCCCCGGCAGAGCGAGGAGCTGATGGGGTGCTCCAAGGCCACTGCATGAGTTATTGGTTTTCCCCCTTGCTCCAACTCCATCATTTCCTGGGGCTCAGGATGATAACCCTGAGGTTTCTGGCCTTGCTGACGTTGCAAGGAACGGGACACCAGGAGCGCTGGCTGCTGTGCCTCGCGTGCTGGCAGAAGTTCACAAAGATGACAGGGTCCCTTCCAACCCAAAGCACACTATCCACAAACTCCTTAGGGGGCACAGTGCCCCTGACCACCCACAGCCAGCCCTGGACAGCTGAATTCAACTGAATCCTTGTCAAGATCAGTATTTTGTAGGCCAGCAGTGGCAGTTTCCTTCTTTAGCTGGTGGTGAGCCTCGACTTGACCCCTGCAGTGGTTTCTCCCTCTCTGAGCAGCCACGCTTTGGGGAGTTTTTGGAGAGGAACTGGGTTTTCCTGCTGAATCCCCTCCTGTGGTGGGGCTGTGGTGCTCAGCAATGATGGAACCTGAGCTGCTTCTCTGGGGCCGTTGCTCTGGGCTGCAGCTCCTTGTGCTCTGCTGCAGTGGGAGCTGTGGGAAGCCACGTCCCAGCCTGACCTGCCTGACACCTCCTTGCCGGTAATTTGTACCCAGTGGGACAGGAGAGGCTGGCCAGGGCATGAACTACCTCAGGAGAGACCTAAATGGCTCAGGAAGGTGAATCTGCCAGTCCATGTGACCTATGAACTTAAAACTCTCTCTGATCTTATCAGGCCTTTCACACAGGCAACTCCATCCCTCATATTCAGGTTACCCCATCTGAAAGGCTGAGGCTGCATTGTTTGTGAGGAGAATAAATGGCCACTGATACCAAATGCAGCCAAATTTTCTTTGTGGTTTATCCCAGAAGAGCAAATATTCACCAGCCCTTATTTCTTCCCTCTGGCTCTGCCCCAGACTATCAGGGCTGGACAAGGGCCTTGAGTTTCCTTCTCCACCTGCCTGTAGAGCCCCCAGTGAGCTCTGCTGTCTCTGAGGACTTGGTCCAGCTGAGAAAGTTAATTTTCCTCGTTTTTCAGGAAGGATGGAAGCCCTTAGAGGTGGCAGATCTGTTCCCTCAGTAATTCCCAACGAGGTGTGAATTCTGGGTGTTGTGGTCTGACCTGGTGTCTGTTGGGATGCTCTTCCTGCTAATTAATGCACTGTAATTCCAGTGCTCATGAAAATTCCCTCTGAAAATACCTCGAGGTGCCTCTCTGGCTACAGAAGGAACTTGTGAATAGTGAATGTTTTAAGAACTGAGCCGCTTTTAGGTGTGCTGGAGAGAGCTTCTGGTAGCAGGGCTTAAACCCCTTGGGGAAGGGAGGCAGGAGATCTTTCGCTAAATGGGGATGAATTTCCATTGTAGCAGCAGAAATCCAGGCTTTGATGGCTGCAAGGAAAGGAGTGATCCACGAGTCTGCCATCCAGAGCCGTCATGCTGAGCAAATGGAGCAAACTCTGGTGATGGGTGGTGGGAAGAGCCTTTCCTTCGGTTCTTGGCAGCAGCTGGTCAGGATGGCGCTGTTCTTTCAGCATCCAGGTGGGAAGATCCAGCTCCATGAACACAAAGGGAGGAGTTGATCTCTTGTCTCTGCTCCTGACCAGCACCCAGGATTGCCTGAGCCCAGCTTACCCACGTGTGCCATGGTTTAGGGGGAGCTCAGAGTCCTTGCTGGGCCCTGGAGCTGCTTTCCTGTGCCTTGGTGCCCAGCCCTCCCTGGCCATGTGCCCTGCTGGGGTATCTGACAGCCTGGAGAGTGCCAGGGACAGCCTGGTTATTTCTGCCCACACCATTTGTGTGGGGGCTTTATTTCTGTATTTTCTTGCTCGCGACTGTTGAGGTTCCTGGAACTGCTTGCCCCAAGGCAGGGCCCTCTGCAGTGCCAGCCCCATTGCGCAGCGTGGCCAGAGCTGCCCTCGGATGTGGCAGGAGCCTGAAATCCTCCTCCAGAATAGGAAAGGGTGCCACAACTTCCCCCTGGCTCAGAGCACTTCTCCTTTTGGCACAGCACGCGGAAGGTGGGGGAAGAGGATCTCTGAAATTGCGGAAGTGTGGGTTGCTCTTGGAAACCGTGTCCCTGGGGAGGGGGATCTGCGTGGGGATGGATTCAGATCCTGGCCTGGGGCTTCCTCCTCAGCTGGGAAGTCTTAGAATGTCAGGAGAGCCAGAGGATGGGGGGCTGCTCCTGCTTTTCCACCCTTGGGAACCACCATCCCATGTTCTTGCTTGCCCATGGGCTGGTTTGGATCTCATGGAGTGCTGCTGATTTCCACAGGAGAATTCCCACTTCGAGGTGATTCTCCTGTGCTGCTCAGGAGGGAGAGCCCTCGGCCAGGCCACGCCCATGGGGATGCTCTTGGCTCTTCCCACTGAGGCTGCTGGGCTTTTGGCTGGGATTTTCTTTGACCTAATTTGATTACCAAGCCCTGAGTGCTTAGCACTAGGGCAAAACATCCCAGGGTGAGTAGTTTATGCAAAAAAACCCAGAGCCAGTGTGTTTCCAGAGACACAAAGGACTTTCCAAGGTTACACCACAGATTCTGAGCCTCCCTGAGCAACTCCCCAGGGCAGCTGAGGAGGGAGAGGAGGAGTTGGACCCGTGGGGGAGAGCAGCAGCGGTTTGGGACGTGCTGTGGATGGAGGTGACTGGGGGAGGTCACATTGTCCCTGTGGGCTCTGGGGTCCCACGGCAGCCTGCTGTGTTCTCCAGCTGTTCTGAGATGCTGGGAGGGGCTGCAGGGAAAGCTGGGAGCCTGTGAGGAGAGGAGGTGCCAGCACAGGGAAGTGTCTGTGAGGGCTGGCAGCAGGCACGGGCATTGTGGAGCTGTCCTGAGTGGCACAAGAGCTGCTACAGCTGCTCTGTGCTCTCCCCACATCTCCAGGGAGTGGCCCTGACACCTTGGGTGAGTTTCCTTTTCTCAGCTTTTCTCAACCCTTTCTCCTGCCAGCAGCAAGGTTGAGCAGCAGATCCATGGCTGGGGCCAGAGCCATGAGGACATCTTTGGATGGGATGAAGGAGTGTGGTCAGCAGCAGTAAGGGACAGATGTTGGATCCCTTTGATGCAGATTAACCCCAAATCTCCTGGTCCTCTGTGGGCCCCTCAGAGCTGAGTCCTTCTCTGCCAGGTGCTGCCTCGTTCTGGGGCTGAGGAGCTCTTCCAGCTTGGGGGGTATCCCAATGTTTCAAAGAGTTTGGTTTTTTCCCTCCCCCAGCTTGATCTGTAATGGCCGCTCTTGGGATCAGCACTTTGAAGCCTTAATTGCAATTATGAATCTTCCTCTGTTCCCAGGTCTCCCCTAATTGGCTTCCTGTGCGAACTTCCAGAGCTGGTAAAAACAAAACTGCTGTTTTTGTGAGGGAGCTGCTGGCGTGGGACTCCCGAGCCCAAATAAAGCCGAGCTCAGCCGAGCCCTGCACGCTGCTGTGCCCAGATGCTCACAAGGGTGGCATTATATCAAACCTAAGCTGATTTACATGCTTGCATTTGCAAAGTGCTAATCTAGCGGGATTTTTTTTTTTTTTCTTTCCCCCTCCTCTCCTTTTCTTTTCAGTCCCCTCTAATCTCCTGCTCTCCCTGCCAGGTTCCCAGCTCCTTTGGCTGGAATAGGCTCCAGCTAAATCCTTTATCTGTCTGTTTGGCAGCCCTGGGTGCAGTAGTTAGCAAACGAGTGACACTTTTCCTGGCTCATTAATTAGATTTACTGAGCTGAGTGCTTGCTGCAGGAGCAAGAGTCTGGGCAAGGCAGTTCTGTATTTTGTTTCTTAGAAATTTGGGGTTTAAAAAAATAAAAACCCAGTTCCAAGGCAGTTCTGGTCCCAGTGGTCAAATCCACAGCTCCCCTGCTTGCAGTGCTGCTGGGAACACGTGGTTTTCTCATGTGCAGCTTTATTTCTGCAATTTGCTGCTGCATGGGCAGTTCTGGCTGTGTGTCATTGTTTTGCTGCTCGAGTTTGAGGCTGGTGCCTGGGTACCGTGCTGGGTGCAGGATATCTTGGTTAAGGCAAGTGGTTCTTGTGGGTTAGAAATAACCTCGGTGAACTATGAGGATGTTTTTATGCATTATAAAAATGCTTTCTTGGCATGACCTGCTCTTCCAGCTTTGCCTTTTGCCAGGTTTATAAATGAGATTGGGAAGGTTACAATAGGAGATAAAAGTGAGAGGCTGAAGGAAAATTCTGGTTCATCTTTATCTGCCACTGCTTTGCAGCTGAGGGACTGTGCTGAGCAGGAGCCTCTGCAGCACCTGTTGGAGGGGAAACTGAGACACAGAGAAGTCTCACCAAATGCTGGGCTTTGACTGTGGACTTGTGCTTCCCTCTTGGGAGCACTGGGCAGCACCAGTTTGTGTTGTCTCGGTGTAGGGGCTGAGCAGTCCGGGAGGGTGGCCAGTGCTGGGGCCTTGTCACCCCTTCTTGGGCACTGGGACACGCTGGAGGATGCTCCCAGTGCTGCCGAGTTACAGATCCACCTGGGGGAGGGAAAAAACCCAACAAACTCTGTGAAACACAGAGCTTTAGGATAACCCCCCAAGCTGGAGGAGCTCCTCATCCCTGGAACACCACGGGCAAGTCACTGATTCCACTTTTCCATGTTTATGCACAAACAAAAATGCTCAAGCGCTGCCCGGCAGGGTGTGTGGGACAGAGCTGCTGCGGTTCCTGGAAGGATTTTTGGAGCTGGGGGAGGAGAGCAGAAATATCTGCGAGGTGTCTCAGAGCTGTGCCCGAGAGCACTCTGCGCTGTACCCACGCAGGAGCCGCGCTCCTGGAGCAGCAGCGAGCGTCGATCCACCGCGCATTGCCGCTAACTGGCTGCCCTGATAGCACGGGGGCCAGGCCGGCTAATTAGCCGGGTCTTTACACCTCCCCTGTTAATTGGGAGAGTGCAGGGTATTCCCAGAGGGAGCTGGACTTGCCGGGAGGTGACCCCTGTCAGCTTGTGGAGTCTTTGATCCCTGCCGGGGGTGAGCCGGGAGCTGCAGCTGGGAGCCACCAGCCTGGACTCCGGCAGAATAACCTCAGCTATTCTGGGTTCACATTCTGAAGTTAAAAAGCACAGAAATAACGTGAGGTCTCCCTGGAGGTAAGTGAGATGGGGAATGAGTTGCTGCCAGCCCGGGAGTGCTGAGGTGGGAAGTGTGGATGTGCCTTGAGCCTCCCTCTGTGCTGGGACAGTGACCTCACTTTGCCCAAGCTGTTTCTATTTTTAAAATTTCAATGTTGAAAAACCTCCAGAACTGGTCCCGAGTGCTCAGCTGAATCCAGGTGTGAGCTGAGCTGTGAGTGCTGCAGGTTAAAATAGAAAAGGTGGAAAAGCTGAGACAAGCACAGGATAATTCTGGTGACTGGATTTTATAGCAGCTCTGAGGGGGAAATGCTCAGGGTTTAAGGTGCCCTTGGGATTCCAGTGGCTCATCTCCGGCAGGGACAACCCAGAGCACCTCTGGAATATCCCTAGGGAAGAGACTTCAGCCCCTGCCTGGGCTCTGCTCAGGGCTGGGCACTGCCCAGGGCAGGAATTCTGCTCCTGTGCAGGGGCAGCTGCAGGGAAGTTCCCCACTCTTATCCAGGTGTTTCACCTGCCCTTACACAGGGTTCATGCTTTGTCCCTGATCCCAGGAAGCCATGAGTGTTTCTACAGGGAGTGGAAATGAGTGGCAGTGACTGGGAGTTCTGGAGACACAGGAGTACAGTTAGAGCTCCAGATTTCAGATGTCTCAGGGATGCTGCAAAAGGGCAAACCAGCACAGGAACGTCCTTGGGGGCGGCTTCCCAGCTGGGCACCACTTCTCCCAGCAACAGCTGGTCCCAGGGAGAGCTGGCCTGCTGGGGGCTTGCTCTTTGCCATGGGAGTCTAAGCTGGTGTGTGAAGCAAAATGTCTCCTTTGATCACAAGCGAGAAGTTTCATTTTTTTTTTGGCTTGATTTTTGCTTTTTGAATCACAGTCAGATGAGGACAAACTGTTTTGAAATGATGAGTTGCAAGGTTATGTTCTGACTCCTTGAGAGTCTCCACATCTCTCCTTGTGTACCCTCCAGGCAGATTAATTTTTTTGATATCCTCTTCATTCACTGAGGACTTCCCTCACCTCAGAACAGTTTCTGGGATTATTTTGTTCTTTTTGCTGAGTCTCTTGCAGTCCTGGTTCTGCTTCTCCTGTGATTCAGTTTGCTGCTTTGGTTGCACACCCTTGGGATGACTCAATCCCAAATTTCAGGTCAAGCATCTCCGTTATCACCAAGGCTGCTCCTGAGGCCTCCTCCTGTGCTGACCTGCAGGAAGGATGTGGCAAAGATGTCTCCTTGGCAGCAGGTTCATGATGCTGGGAGCCCCCACAGGCTTGTTTCACCCTGGGAGTGGTGTGAGTCCTGTTCCTGATGCTCCAGCAACATCTCTGGGATTTCATCAGCTCGAGGATGGCACATCCCAGAGCAAAGGGCAGCTGAGGTGGGCGGTGCTGGGACCCTGCTCCCGATATTTTGGATTTTTTTACTTTCTTTCAGTGGAGCCTTTGTCTCCAAATCCCCCAAACAAAGGCAGTTACTCTCTGGAGCTGTTGCTGTTTATTTGCACCTCTTGGGTTTATTGTTTTGGCATTGACAAGACCCTTCACCTCCCAAGCCCAGCCTTGAGCTCTGGCTGCTAACGAAGGTAATCTTGGGGCTGGAATTCGGGAGATCCCATTGGATAACTCCCCTTTGCAGTGACACCAAAGGTTTGGCTGGAGGGCTTTGAGTGGGGCTGACTCATCTTGGGCTTTTCTGAGCCTGCTGTGGGTTTCCTGCTCTGATCCCAAGGCCGGGCTGTGCGGGGAGAGGCTGGGGTGATAAAACCGCTGCTGATGGCTTGGGCTCTGAGCCCTGGCAGCCTCTCCCCTCTGTAGCTCAGGCTGGTCCCACAGCAGGGTCACCCCTCTGTGACAGGCTGCGGCAGGGGATTTGGGGCTTTTGGGTGGCGTTGCTTGGGGTTACGCCGCGGTGCTGAGCGCTGCTGGTGTCACATGTGTGTGGCTCTGCTGTCCCCTGTCCCCTTCTCACCCTGCCTGGGTCTCGCTGCCTCTCAGAGCTTACTGGCTTCTCCCCTCCCTGAGAGACCCTGAGCGAGAAAAGTCAATCCTGCCTGGTCTGGGGTGAGACCATGTCTGGATTTGGGATTTCACCCCTGCCTGGCACCCAGGGCACACAGCTCTCCCCACCTCCAGACTTTAGCTGGGTTTGATGCCTTTGGTGTGGGTTTGCTGGTTGGACACAACTCACCTCAGGCAGAGCGCTTCTCTTCCTTTTGCCTTTCCTAGCTGTTTTTTTTCCCTTGTTTGGGTGATGATCCATCCTTTGGTTGCAGATTGTTTTGAAGCTCTTTCCTAAATTGGAGACCTTCCCCGTCTGACCGCAGATCTTTCTGCCACATCCTGGTGCTGCGTGGCCGTGGGCAGCCCAGCAGACAGAGCAGCAGCAGAACTGACCACACACGTGCAGTTCTTAGGTCAGGCTTCACTTCCCCACTGTCTGACAGGAATCTCTGTGCCCTGGCCATGGAAGGCACCGTTGTGCCTTCCCACAGAAGGTGCCTCCCCTTCTGCTTATGGCAAGGGAATTGTGCATTAGTTTGGGCTTCTTTGTGCAAAGCATCCTCTGAGGGTGTAGATCTGTGCTGGCTCAGCCCTGCAGCCCTGAGCTGGCTGCTGCTGGGGTGTTGCCTCTGGTGCAGAGGGACAGGCAGGGCACAGTGCCCGTGGTGGGCGTCCCCCACAGGAGCTGAGCAGAAGGACGTGGCTCACAGAGCTGTGACTGTACTGCTGGCAGCTTGGATGAATCACAGGTTACCTTTCAGTTCCTTGGGCTGGGCTCATCACCCCTTCCAGCACTGCTGCCAAGGACGCCCCCAGTCCCCCAGTGCCCACTGTGGGTGCCCAGCTGGCACAGGGGGAGCAGGCAGCCAGCCCTGAGTGCAAATCCTGGCTGCTGCTGTGCCCCTGTTGTGTCACGCTCTGTAAATGCTGTTTGACGCTCAGGGACTCCAAAAGCGCTTTGCACGTTCGCTGCCGTCCCTGCCTTGTGGTGGGAGCCCCTCCTTCAGCCCAGTGCTCAGAGACAGCGAGAGCAGGGGGTGATCTCTGGCTCTGAGGGAGCTCTGCAGTTGTGGCTCTTTGAGAATTCTCCAATTCTAACTGTTTTTGGTGTAAATGAGGCTTTGCAGTTCAGAAAGGCTGCCTGGGTACCTCCTCTCTTCCCAAAACACTATTTCCCACTAGTAACTCAGGATTTAGCTTCCTCTGTGAGCAACGGGATGTCCTGTGTCATTCCTGCCCCTCAGCACTGTTATCCTGCAGGCTCAGGTTCTCTTGTTATTCCAGAATTCGATTTTCTTCTTGTGGCAGGAGTTTCATCTTCTGCTTTAAGATGAAATCACTGCCTAAACTGCTCTTTGGAAGAGATTCTCTGTGTTCCTCCTCTGCTGCCTCTTCCCTGTTTGCTCAGGGAGTGGGGGCTCCCTGGAGCAAGGGTTGGAGCCCAAGGAGTGAATGTCCTGTCCCTGCCATGGCTGGGTGTGTCCTCAGTGTCACATCCCTCAGTGGGGTGGGAACGCAGCCCTACAAGGAGTTGTGGGTTTGGAGGGCACAGCCTGCTCTGCAGGCACCCTGAGAGGATGTTTGTCAAACCAGCAGCCTCCTGGATCTCCTGCTGCCCTGCCTTTGTGTGGTTTGAGCGAACATCTTATCGCCCTCATCTCCACTCCGTGCCGAGCTCTCGTCTGCTTGATGAACACTGAGGCTGAAGCTTTTCTTGAAAATTGCAGCTTTCTCCCCGCACTGCCCCGTGTTCTACAAAGGCTTCCTCCAGCTGCTCCCTCCCTCGCTCTGGGTTTCTGTCTTTGGCTCCTGCATGAGGTGGAGGGAAGGCAGTAAAATCTTGCACACAAACAGCTGAAGCCAGGATTTTCCTCTGTAATCTAAGAAGAGCAGTTCCACGGGAGGAGCGGGCACCAGGCACGTGCTGCTGCCCAGCCTGGCATGGCTCCGTGCCCAGGGCACTGCTCCAAATCCAGCTCTCCCTCTGCAGTGAGGATGAATCTCCCAAAGCTCCTGTCCTGCCCCTTTGGAGGATGAACTGGAGGAGGCAGAAAGCTGAGGTGGAGCTCAGAGGAGTTTGACCTTTCTGGGGAGCTTGTGTCAGGATCTTACCTTGAAAAAATCTCTGGGTGGGGTCCCTTTGCTTTAAACCAAACTAAGTGATTTTCCTTTCGGTGCAGCATCAACCCAAGCTCCTGTTTCCTTCAGCCTCATCAGGCTTGTTCTGGTCCCCCCTGGGCCCAAAGCCCTCCAGCAGCACCAATCCAGGTGCTGAACCACATCCTGGCACCAGCCCAGGCAAGGAATCTGTGTCCCTCCAGCTGCTGCCACTGTCCCCAAACCTGGGCAGAGCATTCAGAGCTGCTCCCGAGGCCCCAAGGCTTTGTTTTCCCTCTCCTGTTTCCTCAGGATGCTCAGCCCCAGAACAATCTGGGCAGGAAAGGGCAAGAGTACCTGTGGGCTGTCCCCAGTGCTGGGGCAGCAGTGGCACTTCCCTGCTGCAGGATTCCCTCTGGAAAGGTCTTTGTCAAGTGCTTTCCTCCCTCGGAATCCCAAGGAGATGCTGCTGGGATTTGCCGTGGGAGGGGAGATCTCAGCTTGTTCTGTTCCTGCCTGGGACCTGACATTCCAGGTTTTGGAGCATTTGCTGCCTGGGGTGCTGGCTCCAGGAATTTGCTCTGCTGGGGGGGTCAGAGGCATCCTGCAAGGGGGGTCTGATCCTCTTCACATCTTAATTTTGGATCTTTGAGCTCTTCCCTCTGTTCTCATCTCCTGGGGGCTGTCCTGGGCTCTGCCTCTGCAGAAGGAGCTCAGAGAAGTCCTTTGAGTGTCGAAGATGGGACTGGCAAGGCAGCTCTGTGCCCTGTCCCAGCCGTGCCAGAGCTGTGGCTGCTGTCACCTTGGCTGCTGAGGGACCTCCTGCTCCTGGACATGAGTCCTGAGCAGCAGAAAAGCCCTGGAAGGGGAAGGTCCCAGGGCACTGAAGGAAAGTGGGGAAACCCCAGTAGGTCCCAGCTGAATGAAAAGTCCCTGCCAGGGAGCTGTGATTACCCAAGGGCTTCCCGTGACCTCAGGCTTCACAGCTCAGCAGGAAAAGACTTTGTTTGTTGCTAATTCTTTTTCATACTATTTAATATTTTTTTTTTTTCTTTATTTCATTTATTTTTTCTTCAAGCAGGACATGGGAATATCTAAAACTAGTGGTCAGCAAATTCCCACTTTTCACCAAGGGGGAAATATTTCCTGGTTTGGTGTTAATTAACAGAAATATTTGTCTGTTCACCTTTGTGGCCCACAGAGATGAATGAAGCCTCTTAACTAAGCAATCTTGGATGGAAATTCCCCAAGGATCTGGCATCCATGCAAGGACAATTTCACAAATAATCTTAGGATACTTCCCAAGCTCAGCTTTGGTGTGCTGGGCCTTTTCTCACTCATTTTAATCAGTGTATTTTTTTTTTAGAAAATGATTATAAATTAATTATTATAAATTGCCCTTTCAGGCACTCACACCTTCAGAGGGGATGAATTCAACCTTGCCCTGAGCCCTGGCACTGGGAATTGTTGGGCATCTGTTGAAAATGGGGCACAACCTTGAGGCAGATGGGTTTCTCTGAGGACTTGGGGCTCTCAAAGCCAGAGGCTGTCCCTGCTGTGTGGAGAGGGGCTGTGCCATCCCTGGGGTGGTGTCACGTCGAGGTGCTCAACACCTTCATAAAAAGCAAAGCATTTTCTAAACCCTCGACCTCAGCTCTTGTTTTTCTTGGTGTTCTCAAGATGTTCAACAGGGCTCCTGAAAGTCAGATTATGCTCTCCAGAGCTGTCCCCTGCCCTGTCATCGTGCTCAGCGTGGGTGGCAAGGAGGAGACATCAGAAAAGGTTGCAGAGTTTCTGCTGCCTTGTGGTGGACAAAGCGAAGCCTTTCCCACGGAAAATGCTTCCATAAGCACTGCCCTGGGAGAGGAGGTTCAGGTTCACGTGTGGTCTGTGGCACAGCAGGGAAAACCACCCAAAGAGTGTGTTCTGCGGTTTGAAGGTTATGGCAAAGTCTAGGGTGTATTTTATTTTAAATTCCCTGCCTGTTGTGTGCTAGGACATGAGGGAAGGGATGGTGGGGTTGCTGTGTGGTGCCCCCCTCGAGGACTGAGCTGGTTTTTGAGCCGGGTGTTGCAGAGGTGTCCGTGAGTCACTCTGGGCTCTCACTGCCCTTCTCCTGCCACAAGCGTGACTGAGGTGCTGGGCTGTGATTTCCCCGCTCCTCCACATGGTACCAGAGTGTTCCTCGGTGTTCCTTGTACCAGGCACAGATAAAAGTTCTGCTGCAGAGCCAGTTCCAGGCTTTGGCAGTAGCACATGAGAGGAGGAGCCTGGGTTGAAGGGGTGAAGCACAGGCTGGGCAGCTCAGCAGTGGTGCTCACGGTGTGCTCGCTCTCACCTTGGGGGAGCTGCTGGCTTCTCTCCAGTGCAGGGGCAGGGCTGGAGGTGGCTCCCTGTGCTCCCAGGGAGCTTCAGCAGCCAGGCACAGCTTTCCTGAGCCCTTTTGAGGGAGCTGCCAAGGCCATGGGGCAGGGAGGGCTGTGGAGCCTCTGCCGAGGTCACAGCGGCTCTGGGGCAGGGCTGGGTGGGAAAAGCCTCTGATGGGAACTGGCACAAAATGCTGGCCAAATGAGCAGAGAGTGGAGCATTTTAGGATATCTTTGGGAATTATCTGGGTGTGTGGCATGGGTGCTATCCAGGGTGGCCTTGCAGGTGATTCTACAGCATTGGCAGCTTTTATTTCTTCCTACTCAATTACTTTTGAGCATTTGGGTTGCTTCTAAACAAGAGGCAAACAATATGTGGGGTGGACCCATCTCTGTGCCTTGGAGAGGGGGACACCAGCCCTAGGGTCCCTCTGGGCTGCAGGGGAGGAGGAAACATCCACCCGGTCACCTGTGCTTGCTGACGGTCAGGAGCATGGGAGCTGTTCAGGAACATGGGAGCAGTGCCCCTGGGAAGCTGCTGTTCCTGGCATCCCAGACAGATGGATATAGGTTGGGTGGGATAAAACCTTCCTCCCCAGCACAGTCACTACCAGCCAAGGTTCAGGATGCACCCTGGGCCCTGGAGGAGAGGTTGGGTGTGACGGCTGCAGCCACAATTTCCCAGTGCCCTCATGTCCCCTTGGAGTTTTCCACCATTGCCACAAAGGCACATGGAGCTTTCCTTCCTGTTTGTGTGGCAGCAAGGGGATGGTTCTGCAGCCTTCCGTGGCCACTTGGGGTGGACTTGTGACCATTACCAGTGACCCCTGGAGCCATCAAGGGCTTTATTAACTCTCCTCCTTCTTTCCCCTTTGATGCAGGAGATGAATTAAAATGCAGCACACCACGTGCACAGAGGACAGGATCTACCACGCTCTGGAAAGGTGTCTCCACGGCCTTAGCAGGGATGCTGTGTCCAGCAGATGGGCTGGTAGGTGACCAACATGGACTTCTCTGTGTGACCCACCTGGGCCCGTGTCTCACCCAGCACCCTCTCTGGGCTAGGGGGAGCTGCCGGTGATGCTGGAGGCCTTTTCCCTTCCAGTGGTCAGAGTCAGAGGTAGCATCCAACCTGTTCAGTCCTCCTGGACATTTTGCTGGAATAGGAAGGTGTTCCAGGACCCTGAACAGGTCACGTTAGGTCTGACTCGTGTAAGGACTCAGCAGGGCAGCCGTGCATGTTGCCAGCTGTCCCTGAGGAAGCTGGGGAGAGGAGAAGGCTTTGTTGAGCACGAGGAAAGGCTCCTTTGTGTGATCAGCCAGCTCGTGATGCTTGTGGCCCCCAGGGCAGGGCTGTGACCTCTGCTGCCCTGTCACACACAGCACAGAGGTGTTGTTATCAGTTTAACCCTGGCTCAGGTTCTGTGGAGGCCACAGAGAGAGGAGCCTTGCTCAGGGGGCTGTGAAGGGATTGGGGCTGACATGGTGAGGGCAGAGCAGCAGCCAGCAGAAATAATTTCTGAATGTCATTCTGACCTTTCTGCCTCATAGCTGTGTCTGTGAGCTGTGATTAAATCACTGCAAAACCCTCTTGTGGATGAAAGAATCTGGGGGCTCTCAGATTCTGATTCCTTTTGGTCTGTGCAGTTCTTTCAACCCTTTCTACTTTTCTTTTTCCCTACAAGATCAACAGAGATGCAGACAGGATCCTACCTGCTGCCAAATCCCAGAGGAATCCCTTTGCCATCCCAATCCCAGCCACTGCAGCGATGTCACTTCCATGCTGTAGCATCATCTGGGGGATTGGTTGGGGCAGTTCTGCCCCAGATTCCCGTGTCCTTTTCTTTTCCCCTGCTCTGGGAAGCAGGCCCTGAAGTGTGACCCACATTCCTGGTTCCTGGAAGTGCGACCTCGTGCTTGGCACGATGACAGCTCGTGGCCAGAGGAGCCCCTGTGGCCAAGCAGGTCATTGTGTGCCCGGAACTCACCTCTCCTGCAATTACCATCAATCAGTTCCCGTGTCACTCACAGCCCCTCAGCACTGCTCTTTGTGTTGGTGAAGCTTTTACACAACAACTCCATCACTTCTGCAGCTTGTTAGCAAAGACTGAGGTGCTCGGGGCTGGGGTCTGTGCTGGGGACAGCTGTGCCAAGTCCCTGTCAGTCCCATCCCGGTGATTTCCCCTGGCTCCTAGGCCCCTTCCTGTGGCTCTCATGGGCTTTGGCAGAAGGACCTGACATTCCTGGGAGAATTTTGGGCGTCTCGCGCCTCAAAAATCTCATCCCAAGGATTTGTGCTCTGCCAGGAATTTGCAGCGTGCCCTGGGTGGGTGTTGGTGGCTTTGCTGTGCTCCAGCCTCGGTGCTGCTGCTGGGGACCCCCCAGGACCCCCAGCGTCCCCCCGAGGGCCTGTAGCCCCCATCCTACCCCGTGCAGGAGTGGGAAGCGTTTGGTCACTGTGGTGGCAGGAAAGATTCCAGGAAAGCAGAGCCCAGAGCTGTCCCCTCCTGCCTTTCTGGGGATGTTGTCACACCCTGCCCCAAGTTACAAACAAGAGTTTCATTATCGCTGTGGTGTCCAGGACAGTGGGGCCAGGAGTGACCGCAGCTCGGGGAGTGACCGCGGCTCGGGGAGTGACCGCGGCTCAGGGAGTGACCGCGGCTCGGGGAGTGACCGCGGCTCAGGGAGTGACCGCGGCTCAGGGAGTGACCGCGGCTCTGGATGACCACAGCTCTGTGTCTCCACAGCTGGGCTGTGCCTGAACTGCTGGAGCCTGCAGGAGCTGGTGAGCCGGGACGCCAGCAACTATCTCATCCTGGTGGAGAAGATCCTGGGCAAGACCAAAGAGGTGAGTGGGAGCTGCCAGTGGGAGCTGCAGGCTCCGAGGTATCGGCAGATCCTCAGGATGGGCTTTGGCAAAGCTGGGTGGGGGTTTGGGGTCATGAGATCGTGCCGGGGGTTGGGTGGGGCTTTGGGGTTGGTTTTCCCACAGAGATGAGGGAATCTCCTGGGTGTGGTGGGAGCTGGGGGCTGCAGTCTCCAGGGATGTTTTGGGCAGTGCTCCTGGCCAGCAGCTCATCCCCATGCCCTCGGGCTGTTCCCACAGGTGCAGGAGAGGTGTGACTACGACCTGGTGATGCCCCTGGCTCTGCTCTTCTACTCGGCCGTGCTCTATGTAAGTCCTGAGGCTGCTGCAGCCACCCCAGCCCGGGGCAGGCACCAAAATCAGGGTGGCTTTGGCTGGAACAGCCCAGCCTGCTTTCATCAGTGCATCCAAAAAATAAAGATTCTGTATGAATCTAGAGGGATCAAGCATCCATTGCACAAGTCAAGAGACAAAAAAAATGAGCTTCAGGGGTCTTGAAGCTATTTTTTTTAAGGCTGGGCTAATCAGAAAGAGAGATGGGCAATAAAGTGGAATTTTTTTCTTTACCCTTTATAGCTGGGCAAAACACACAGGCAACGTGAATGAAAAGGAGCAGAGCCTTGAGCCTTCTCAGGAAATACTTTTTTTATTATTATTATTCCCAGCACAATGCATCGTTATCCCAAGGAAATCATTGCTGCCAGATCCTGCACAAGCACAGGCTGAATGGAATTCATCTGTACGGCTTGCGGCGCTTAAAAAGGAATTTGTATTTAGGCTTGGGCATGTGAGCCCCACTTGGGGAGGTTGGGAAGGAGCTTCTTGGAGCTGTGCCCAGGGGGGATCCTGTGGCCCTTCCTTGGGAGGACATTGGGTGGTGCAGGGGGAACCTTTGCTTTGCTTCTCTCACTTCCAGCCTAAACTCTGGAGTTCTCACACAGCCCTCGGGGTTTTTGCTCTTCTCGAACCTCCTGTCCCTGTTCCCACAGGCTCCTCACTTCCCACCTGGCTCTGACCTGCTCCTGAAAGCTGCCAGTGTTTACCACAGCTTCCTGACGTGGCCTGTGCCCTACTGTGACACCTTCCGGGAGCTGCTCACCTTCATCAGCAATGAGCTCAAGGCGCCAGGTGAGTGCTCCTGCTCTGCCCTGGTGCCAAACCCAGCCCAGCCCCGGAGTTTGTCCCTCTGCTGCTCCTGTCTCATTTGTGCTTGGTTCCTGACTCCTGGGAGTGCAGTGTCCATTCCAAACTTCAGCTTTCCCAGGGGTCAGGACCCTGCCCTCCCTCCTCCCTAGGATGGTATTCCCGGGTGGTCTGGAATCCTCTGGAGGAGAAGGGTAGGATGGTGTTTTTGGTGGGTCCTTTGTGTGCAAGGAGCAGCCCAGGGTCTCCCAGCTGTGGATCTGAGGAAATTAGCCACATGGGTAGCGATTTCCTGGCTGGCTTTCACTCTGGAGGGTCTTTTCCCCAGCAGATCACGTGCTGGCTGCTCCCCCCAGCCTGCCCTTTGTGTGAGGTGCTCAGTGGGGGGACAACAGTGGGGCCATTCATGGGCATCAGGGTGGCTGGAGCCTCCAAACCTGCTCTTCCATGGAGGTTTCCATAGGGCTGAGGGGTTCCCTGGATTGTTCTTTCCAGCCCAGACACTCCTTGTGACCCAGCTCTGGGCACATGCACGGGCAGCACCAGTGCTCCTCTTAATTAAGGACTCCTTGTGGATGTCCTGTGGTTCCCAATGGAGCAGCTCTTCCAATTATTTCTCAAAGCCTTTTTTCCTAATCTCCCTGCCTTTTGGGGGCTTTTGAAGAGCTGTTATCACACAGAGCACATTGCAGCCCGTGTTTAATCCTGGGCAGGGTTTGGGAGGCCTGGGAGGGGGATGTGGCTGTGGCTGGGGGTGTTCCCCTCCCCCTCAAACAGGGAAGGTGCTTTGGGGAGCCCTGGGGGATGTGAAATGCAGGTTCTCTGTCAGGGCAGCAATTCCCATGAGCTGGGAACCTGGGGGTTAGATGAAAGGTGTTTTCAAAGGAACAGAATGATGGAAAAATCCCAACCTATGCAGCGGGAGCTCTGGACTGGCTGCTTTACCCCCAGCACAAATGGCCATGGCCACCAGGCAGGGTCTGGCTGCATCCAGCCTCACCTCAGAGCTGCAGGGCCACAGGGCCTTGAGGACACTCGTGGGACTCCCTCCTGGTCATTTCCTGCTGTGCCTCTGCTCAGGGCTCTGCCTCACACACCTCTGGAAAGCTCTGGTGCTGGGTGGGGGTTGCTGCATCCCATTCTTGTGCCATCCCCAGTGCCCCAGGCTGTGGGTGGGGGGCTTTAACCCAAAAGCTTTCCCCTCCCACAGCAGAGTGGATTTCCTCCCAGAGGTGCTGTGTGGGAGGTGCTGGCTGCTGTCTTTGGGAATCCCTCTCCAGAAGCAGTGAGGCTGTCCCCTGCTGCTCAGCTGCCAGGACCTTGCAGGCTGCTCTAGGCTTGCTTCATGGCCCCCTGACCTGCTGGGGGGCTGAGGCCCAAGCTTTGTACTGAGATGAGGGTAAAGATTAACAGAGAATGAGCTGCTGTCAATATTTGCCAGCAGTGCAACAGCTTTGATCTGCACCCGGGGGCACCCCTGCAGGAGGGGTCAGTGCTGTGGATCAGGGTGGGCCCCCCGTGGGTGCTGAGCTAGGTGGGATATGGCTCCCTGCATTGATAATGGCTGGATCTTGCTGATGCCATAAAGCTTTCCCAAGCTGTGCCACTGTGCTGCTCTCTGGGGTGACAGGGCCCTACTGTTGGCACCCAGCCCACATCCATGGGATGTCACCTAGTGTCCTGGGAACAGTCCCAGGGGGGTACCCAGGCTGTGGCTGCCCACACCACCTCCTCTCTTGCTGCATCAGTCCGGGCTCTATCCCTGCAGCAGAGGAGGTGGTGCTGACTTGCTGGCCCTGTGGGGCCGGGGGGCTAAAGTGAGGGGGAGCAGCTGCTAAATGTCATCCATGGAATTCCCATCCCACACCAGCAGTGGGGCAGCAGGAACTGGGGCTGGAGCAGGTCTCCTGTCCCATCCTGTGGGTGATTTCCCATCACTCTGGGTTTTCACTCTTCACATCCTGAGTTCCCTTGCTCCCAGCCTGGCCCCTCTCACGGTGGCTGTGCCTTGTCCCAGAGGACTCTTAATGCTGCCATTCCTGCTCCAGGCAGGGCTCTGTCAGCTCAGTGCTGCCCTGCGGGGCAGAGCCAGCTCAGTGCTGCTGGGCAGAGCAGCCTGCAGGTGTTCTGTGCCTCACGGCTCTGCTCTCCCCCAGGGATCACGTTCCAGAGGCTGGTGAGGACAGAGCAGGGGCTGCCAGTGAAGAACTACCAGAGCTCCACAGTGTAAGTGTGGCCATGGGCACTGCTGGGGGCTCCCTGGGGCATCCCCATTGGTTGGCACTGCTGCAGCATCTCCCAGGGGCCAGGGAGGAGGGCTGGGAAGCTGGGCTGAGCTGTGGGAAGGGTGAGGAGAGCAGCTGGGGCTGGGGCATTTCCAGAGCCTTGGGAGGACAGGATCCTTGGGCTCCCCATGCCAGTGACCCTGGAGGGCTGCAGATACTGGGGAAGGCAAAGTCTCCTCCCCAAGGTGCTGCTGATCTCAGCAGATGTTGGGGAGCAGCTGGGAAATGCTGTGATCCATGATTTTGGGAGCCAGGAGCGAATCCATTCCAGCCCCAGTGCAGCAAGGAGTGAAAGCCCTGCAGCTCTGAGCAGTCAGACTTTGCACCTTATTCCATGGTTGAACCTTTCCCTGCCAATCCTCATTTGTAAATAGGGAAACAAGGCTGGGACACAGACCCATGCCGTCCTCAGAGTCTCTCCTCAGAGCTGCACCTTCAGGAGAGAAATGTTTCGAGTCCACTCATGTGCTGTGAGGCCACGTGGCTGCTGGGCTGAAGCTCTGGGTGGGTTCAGTGTCCTGGCCTGACTGGTGTCCCTGTCCCCAGGACGGTGCTGCTGCTGAATCGCTCGGAGGTCCAGAGCGAGTTCCTGTCCATCGCCGAGAAGCTGAGCTCCAGTGAGGCCCCCCAGCACTCCACACTGGTGCTGCTCCTCCAGCACCTCTACCAGGCCAACTTCGGCACCTGCTGTGACCTGGACAGGCTGCAGCACCTGCTCAAGGTGGGCTGGGGCAAAGCCCGCCCCGGGGTGCTGTGGAAGCAGTGCACTTGGCTGCTGGATTTCCTACCCAACATGGGACTGGCTTGGCAAAGGGTTTTGGTGATGCTTCTTGGAGGAAAAATGCACATTTTTCCCTTCTCAGGTTAGACCTGAGGTCTGAAGTGTTCTGTGAAATGTGCGCAGAGGGCTCCCCTTTTACCCTGTTGTTCCTTTCCCATCCCAAAGTGGAGAGGAAGGGTCCTCAGATCTGAAAATCAGCAAGTGTGTGTTTGACCAGACAAACACTTGGGGGAGAGGCAAAAAAATAATGAAGGAACCGCCTGGGGTGTTTTCAAAGTAATTTTTATTTTCACTGGAAAAGTTTGGGGAGGACTTGAGGGTGGTGGGGGCAGTGAAGGGGAGAGAGTCACCCTGTTAGTGATGCTGCCCATGTGTTACCTCAGTGGAGGGACCCTCTGAACGTCTCCTCTGGCTCTGCTCCACAGTCCAAGCCCCTGGAGGAGCTCTCGGAGCTCTACGCCAGTGCTGCCGATGCACAGGAGGCGGCGGCTGCCAGCAGCGACCCTGCACTGGCCCGGGAGCGGCTCCAGGCCATGCTGCGTGACATTGCCGGGGCTGCCTCCCTTCCTGCCATTGCAGGTGAGCATCCCCCATCCCTCTCTTCCCTGGGGTTTTCTGCTGGCCCAGCCCCTGCAGCCACAGCAGCAGGGAGCGGTTTTGCGGAGTCTCAGCCGAGTGCAAGGACTGCACTAAAAAAGCACCGACCCAGGTCCTGTTTAATAACCACACCGCGAGCCACAGATGGTTTCATTAAACAGTCACAACACGAGTTGTCCAGCCTCCAAACAATTTAAGGGTGAGATGAAATATTAAGTCAGAAAGCCACGGTAGCTGTGACACCTGGCGGCTGTGCAGGTGTGAAGTGTCCCCTTGTCCCAGTTGCACAGGACTGCCCAGAGCTAAGGACTGCAGCATCAGGCCTGGGCTGCCCAGAACATGCAGGGGGTGGGTGGCACCTCCCAGGCCAGGAGAGATGGCAGGAGTGGCACAGAGGGTCTCTGCAAACCAGCTGCTTCCTCTCTGCTGTCCCTCCTCTCTCCCCAGGCGAGGCCCAGCCCCGCAAGCTGCAGCCCATCCCTGTCCCCCCTGCTCGCTGCTACACCTACAGCTGGGACCAGGACACCTTTGGTGAGTCAGGGCCTTTGCTGAGCTCTCAGCCAGGCCCAACAGCTTTGGACAAGTAAAAGGATCCCCTTGTGCTGAGCTGGTGCCTCCAGCTTCCCCATTCCTGGAAGGACCTCGTGTGTTCTTGGGAAGGCTCCGTGTTCCTTCCCTGCTGGCCCCAGCAAGCGGGAGCAGAGCTCTGGCCCAGGCTTTGTGCTGAAGGCCAGCCCTGACAGGGAGCCAGGGTGGGTCACAATGGGGTTTGATCAGCCAAAGGCTTGGCTTTGCTCCTGCCCTCTGGTTAAACCTGGAGCAGACGTGAGGATGTGGTGAAAGCTGGGGGGGAAGGAAGCAAAAGCCCAGCTGGAGTTTGCCTTTTGAGAACCCAGCCAGAACCTCGAGCAGAGAAACACCATTTCCTTGGCACTGCAATGAAGGCTTTTGTGGAAATCCAAAAACATTGAGGAGGAGGTTTCCAGCTCCTTGCTTGACACCAGGGCGGAGGAGAGCCTTGGCCATGAGTGGCAGTGGTGTCTGGGGTCACCATGTTTGCAGTGGCTCTGCTGGAGCCTGTGGCAGACACCTTCTCCCTCTGCTTGCTTTCAGACATCCTCAATGATGTCCTCAGCAAGGAGTGCAGCATTGCTGAGCCCCTGGCCTCAGAGAATGAGGAGGAGGATGAGGATGAGGAGGATGTGGAGACTGACGGTGGCTCCCCCGAGCAGGACTCGCTGCTGTCCCCGCTCTGTGCCATCTCCAGTGACTCGGTGTGCTCCGTGCTGTCCGAGGAGAGCTCCAAGCCATCACAGGTGTCCCTCTTCGCCTCCTCCAGGGAGTCCATCTCGGAGCTGACGGTGGTCTCCAGGAAGTCCCTGAAGTCGTTCGTGTCCAGCCTGAAGGACTGCATGGACAGTGGCTACGCCGAGGACAGCGACGAGAGCTCTCTGGACACGGTGGCCAGGACGGACAGGCCGCCCCCCAGGCAGCGGCAGTCGCTGACCAACAGGCTCTACAAGCTGTTGAAGAACAAGAGCCAGCAGCTGGTGCAGCGCCGGGAGCCGTGCCCGGGGCCGTGCTCGCTGTCGCTGCGGCGCGCCGAGAGCCTGTGCGCGTCCCCGGCCCGGCCGCGCGTCNGCGCCTACCGCGACCTCAGGTGAGCCGGGCTGGGGGCGGCCAGCGGTGCCTCGCCCTGCCCGGACACCCTGCTCAGCCACCTCTCTGCCTCCCCAGGCTCAAGGAGAGCTCCTGCCCCTCGCTGACACGGTACTTCAGGCTGCTGTTTTTCTACATCCCCGTGAAGAGGAGCTGTGCGGCTCCATCCACCCCGCAGATGCATCATCACCCCTCGCTGGCCCTGGGGGACCCCCTGCCCCGGGCGCTGGTGGGTGTCCCCTCCCCGCGGTGCCACCAGGGCTCTGCTTGGCCTGGGGCTGCTGTCCTTGACCGAGGGGACCCTCGAGGTGACCACGGTGTCCGGTTTCAGGACCCCTCCCTGGCTGGGATGGAGGGCAGCACCAATGACATCTCGCACTACATCGGCCTGCTGGACCCCTGGTATGAGCGCAATGTCCTGGGGCTGATGAACCTGCCCATGGATGTCCTGTGCCAGGTGCGTGTGTGCCATGAGCAGGGCGGGCTGTGCCGTGCCCCTTCCTCGGGGAACTGAGCAGCTGTTGGGAGAACCTTCTGCCATGCCACGGGGGTGCAGGATGGAGATGGGCTCCTGGTAGTCAGTGGGAGGTTCCCATCCCGCTGTGGCTGGAGGTACCACCTACCCCATCACATTTCTGACTCATTCTGCCACCCCAGTGTGCCAAGCCTGAGGCTGAGCCCCAGGAGGACTCCCAGGAGCAGCTGCCCATCTTGGCAGACATGATCCTCTACTACTGCCGCTTCGCCACACGCCCCATGCTGCTGCAGCTCTACCAGACCGAGGTGGGCAAGGGCTCAGCCCAGCCTGGTGAGGGAAAGGAGGGGTGGCTCTGCCTGTGGGGTACAGGGGTGTGGCACAAGTTCTGCTGCAGCAGAGCTCAGTCCCCTTCGTCCCTGGGGTATCTGTGGTGCCCTGGCTGGTGCTCCTGGCTCAGGGACTGAGAGCAGCTCCTGCCTGGACCATGAAGTCCCACGAGCAGTTTTCCACCCCAGCACCTTTCCCCATGCACAAAGCAGTGCCTGACAGTGCTGCCAGGTTTTCCACACCGCTGGAATCTCTCCAGAGCTTTGCTTTCCAAACCAAGCCCCTCCATGAGGCGAGTTTTCCACACCCTGCTGTGTGCCTGGGGCAGGTGTGCTGGGGAGGATTGAATTTGGGGCTGTGCCTGGGGACCACCTGCTGCAGGGCTTGGTGAACAGAGCTCACAGGATTTGTGCTTCCAAAGCAATTCCCAGACCCTGCTATTGGCTCATTGTGGGTTTTTTCCCAGTGGTCTGTGGAGTTTTAGGTGAAAAAGAGAGGTTTGGGTTGTTTTGGGGATCTGTCCAAACAGTCTGAAGTCCAGCTAAAGGCAGGTGCCACCCCAAGCAGCTGCTGAAAGGTGCTTTGAAAATGTGGAAGGATTTTCCCAAACAGACCCATTTCCTAAGGACTGAGAGGGGTGAAGGTTGCCTGGCCTGTCTGGTCCCCTGACCCACACCTGTCCCCTCTTGTCCCCCTGGCAGCTCACCTTTATTGGGGGGGAGAAGAGGACCGAGGTCTTCATCCACTCGCTGGAGCTGGGGCACTTGGCAGCCACGAGGGCCATCAAGGCCTCAGGTCTGTAGCTGCTTCTGCACCCCCACCTGCCCTGGGGGTCTAGGGGCTGTGAGGGATGGGAAGGAGGGGCTGGGGGAGCCTGGGCTGCAGGAGGTGCCTGAGCCAGGCAGAGCAAGGATCCAGACAGCTCTTTGCTGGTTTGGGGGAGAAACATTCCAGTTTTGTATTCTCTCCAGGAGGGAAACCATGGCAATGTTTGATTGTTTGTGCTGCTCTTAGCTCTGGAATGCATTTACAATAAAACACCTCCAAGCCCATTTCCTTCCTCTCATCAGCACCTGCCAAATGCAGCTCTTTATCTTTCCTTTTTACAGCTTTCTCTTTGTGCTTTGTTCAAAAGTGTCATTGATAAAATCCCTCTTTTCATCTCCTTATTCTACTGGGCAAAGTCAGGTTTGTGTGCGTGCTTGGAGCCTTCTGCGTGTAATTTTTTTCACTTTCATGCTGTGAATTTATGACATTAGCGATATTAAGAGAGCAGAAGCAGCGGCAGGAACATCTGGCTGCAGTTCCTCCGGGTACCCAGGACGGGCTGCTGTGGTGAAGTGCAGCTCGCACAGCACCTCATGGCCAGTCCCCAGTACTGCACCTGATCCCGTTCGTGCCTTTAACCCATGGCTTTGCTGTGAGCTCCACTTGTCCTTCGACACAGAGCCCATAAAATCCCCCCTGTGCCGTGTGCCCACCTGCTCCCCCCAGGTCAGGCTCTTCCCTCCGTGAAAGCGCCAGTGCTCAATCCGATGTTTTCCTCTTGGCTTATCTGGCACCTCTTCACAGCTGCAAAAAATTATCCAGGGGAGAAAGCACAGTTAGAAAGTGTCAAGCCCAGTGTTTCAGGGCTAATTTAATGTGGGCAGAAGTCTGCCTGAGCAAACAGGAGCTGGCTGTGGCTTTTATTGCTCTGTGTTTTCCCTCTGCACTGGCTCATCCAGAGCCACTTTCAGTTCTGCTGAGTGGTTTTGTAATTCCTCTCTGGATTCTTTGCTTTCTGCAGCTTTTAAGCCACCTTTTCTCTTTTTTTTTTGTGCTCAGCAAGCCCTTTTCCCCTTCTGCAGGTCCTGGATGCGCTGCTGTATCAGCAGCCAGGGAAGGCTGGGGATAAAAAGCCCCTGTGTGACATTTGCTCCTTGTTTCCTGCAGGTCCAGGCAGCAAAAGGCTGGGAATAGATGGAGACAGGGAAGCAATCCCACTGACACTACAGATTGCATACAGCAAGGTCTGTGCTGGCACTGCTGGGGCACCTCCAGTGCTGGGGACAGCTCTGGGATGCTCATGGCAAGGAACTGAGGGACTGGAGTGTGTCCAGGAAAAGGGAAGGGGTTGGAGCCCCAGGAGAGGCTGAGGGAGCTGGGAAGGGGCTCAGCCTGGAGCAAAGGAGGCTCAGGGGGAATTCTGGCTCTGCACAAGTCCCTGGCAGGAGGGGATAGACGGGGGAGGTCGGGCTGTGCTGCCAGGGAACAGGGACAGGAGGAGAGGGAACGGCCTCAGGCTGGGCCAGAGGAAGTTTAGATTGGACATTGGAGAATATTTCTTCATAGAAGGGGTTTTCCAGCCCTGGCACAGCTGCCAGGGCAGTGGAGGAGTCACCATCCCTGGGAGTGCTTAAAAGACGTAGGGTTCTTTCTTAAGGACTTGGCAGGGTTAGATTTAGGGTTGGACTTGACCTCAAAGGTCTTTTCCAAGCTGAATGGTTGTGTGTTTCTCTCCCCTGGGCTCTGGCTGGTCCCTGCAGACAGCTGCCAGTGGCAGGAGTCACTGGAATGATGTGGAGAAGGTCTGCACATCTGTCAACCTCAGCAAGGCCTGCAGGAAGCACGAGGAGCTCGGTGGGTGCGGGGTCCTGGGAGGCACTGGGGCAGCGAGGGAGCGCTGTGGGTCTCCTGGCTGGAGCAAATGAGGGAGGTGAGAACGCAGGAGACACGTGGGAGTCTCCTGATGTTCCCTCAGCTGTGCTATAGTCCTTGGGTGCCAATCCTCAGCACCACGTCAGGGACAAAGGACATGTCCCACTGTCCCAAAACTTCCAGCTGGAAAACCATCCACAAGAGATGGGGCTGGGGTGGCTTGAACACCAGGACAGTCACTGCAGAGTGATGCTTTCCAGAACAGCCCTTATTTAGCAAGGAGGACCAACAGGTGAAATGCTGAAATGGAGCAGGACCAAGGCGCTGGTCCTGCATACACAGCAGCCCTGCCTGTCACCTGTCTCAGCACGCCCTTCCTGCAGCCCAGACACAGCTCCCTGTCACCTGCCTCAGCCTCAGAAACCTTTCTTCTAATCAAGTTTCCAATTAATCAAGCTTTGAGCCTTAGAAAAGCTCCAAGGCTTTGGTCTGTGTGCATATTTGGCTTGTTCTTGTTTAAGAGCTGCTGGTTTGGCCATCAGACATATCTGGTTCTGAGGAGTCTGAGGGGGTTTTGGTCCCTTTTCCTGGTGTGGCCAGTGCCTGGCAGGTGTTTGTCAGCAGGATAATCAGGGGAATCCTGTTGTACCAAACAGGAGACATCTCCACAAGCTCTGACAAGCTCCACACTGTCCCTCCCCATCTGTGGAGCCATGCAGTCAATCCTGGGAGAAAAACGTCAGGAGTGGGTTTCTCACTCCCTTCTAAATGTTGAGTTGGATGTTCCTGCTCTGGTTCAGGGCTTGCATCAGGGGTGCCCTCAGCTCCTATCTGGGGAGAAACCTCTCTGTGAATCTCTGTCCTTCCAAGAGGAATCTGATCCCCTTGCCTGCAGTGGTTTTCCCATTCAGCAGTTTGACCACAGGATGTCACTGTAATTCCAGGCACGAGGAGGCATCTCCAGCTGGGCTCAGGAGAGTCAGCCTTTCCTCCCTCACGGTGATGGGCAATGGGTTTTCTCCTGTTTGCAGCCCAAGGCTGCAAATGTTCTCTCCTGCTGTTTGGAAAGCAGCTGGAATTACAGAGGACATTCAGCAGGAGGGGAGGAAAGCTGGGATTGCATTCCCCCAGCACTGGGATCCTGCTGCAGCTCCAGCTCTGGGATGCTTTGAGAGGTGCAGGGCCCACCTGGGTTCCAGCAGAGCCCCAGGTCACAGCAGTTTCCTTCTCTTGCAGCCTCGAAGACAGAATGTCTCAACTTAACCATGACCGAGGTGGTCAAGAGGCAGAACTCCAAATCCAAGAAAAGTTTCAATCAGGTAACCCCAGTTCTGGAGCTCTTACATGTGGGAGATGGGGTTGGCCTGGCCCAGCTGGGAGGGGAGCAGGGGTGGAGAGAGCAGCTCCTGGGGAGATCCCTCTGCTGCTGCCCCCAGCCCCCTGCCCAGGGAATGTGCTGAGGCAGCAGATCCCTCACTGCAGCCCTTCCTCTCAGCAGATCAGCATGTCCCAGATCAAAGTGGACAAGGTCCAGATCATTGGGGTCCAGTCCTCCTTCGCTGTGTGCCTGGACCAGGATGAGCAGAAGATCCTGCAGAGTGTGACCAGGTGGGAACTGCAGCCAGAGCTCCTGGGATGGGGCATCCTCAGCTGTCCCTGAGCTGTGGGTGGGAATGGGGTCCTGGCCCCCTGGGCCCCAAGCTCTGAGCTCAGCTTGGATGGATGCTCCTGCTCAGATCCCAGCAGGAGTTCACCTTCAGGAATTTCTGCAGTCTGAAAGGTGGTGCCCTGACAACCTTTAACCCCAAAGACTCCTCTTCCAGCAGGAGCAATAATGAGCCAGAGGTTATGGGAGATAAAGGAGGTGTTGGGAGAGCTCAGGGTGTGTGAGGAGACCCTTCACCTTCTAAATCTTCTTTGGATGCCTCCTTTGGCATCCCCACTGCAGAGGGAACTCGTGAGCCTCGTGGGAGGGAGAGTCTGGGCTAAGCAGGAAGTGTTCATGGGGCTGTTCACCCATCAGTGCTGTCCCCAGGACACCAGCCTGGCTCCCCAGGTGACAGGGCTTCCATGAGCACAAGAAGTCAATCCATGGTTTTGACCCATTAGTTTTAAAAATGTACAAACATTGTAATTCCACCCTCAGATTGAGCAGAACTCTGCAAAGTGAAGTTGCCTCCAGCAGAAAAATATATGGGATCTTTTGTTCTTAAATAACCCCAAAGAGAAGCATTTAACTCATTCATTGTGAAACTCAGGGGGCTGGTGGAGTTTATGAAATGCTAAAGGAGCTCCTTCCCTTTTCTCCAAACTTGGGGGATACAGAGGTTCTTATTTTCCCTACTAAATTTCTACAAATTCCCTGGATCTGTGATGGTGCTTGAGGTCCCAGCCTGAGCCAGCTGAAAATCCTGAACTCTCAGTGCTCAGACTCCAGTCCTGTTAAGGATTGCGCTGATTCCCACTGGATTTGCAGCCCCATCCCTGTTCCTGCTGGGTTTGCAGCCCCATCCCTGTTCCTGCTGGGTTTGCAGCCCCATTCCCATTCCTGCTGGGTTTGCAGCCCTGTTCCTGCTGCCCCTGAGGGTTCTCAGCCCACTCAGAGGTTGTTTCCATGTTTCCCTGCAGGTGTGAGATCTCCGTGTGCTACAAGCCCAGGGACAGCGACCCTCTGGCACCCAGAGGGTCCCCAGTGCCCCCCCAGGACCCCTCTGAGTTCCACTCCCTGCTGTGTTTGCCCATTGCCACCTTCAGTGGGGCACTGCCATAGAGGGGCCGTGTCCCTCCAGACCATCCCGCACCAATCCAGTGAAGGGAAGGAGAAGGATGCCCAGCCCTGCTTGGCCAAGAGCTGCTGCAGCTGAAGAGTTGTTGTGTTGGGGTGGTGCCTGCTCCTGCTCCTTCCCTCCTTGGGAAGTGGGATTGTCGTGCTCTGGTGTCACTGGGGGACTCCTCAGCAAGGGGGGGAAGGTGGTTCCTGGATATCTCCCTGTGGATCAGCAGATGTCAACACCGGGGTGGGAGGGCAGGGCAAGGACAGGGATGTTCCCTGGCAGAAAATGGTGCAGGTGAGATATGGGGGGGGATATTTGGGAAAAGGAATGTCCTTGGCTCAGTGGTGTCAGGTGTCCGTCAGTGCATGGGAATTACAGCTCCCATTGTGTTGGTGAAATACCAGCCCATGTCCTGGTGGTATTTCACCTGTGAGGTCAGGGATGCTCAGTACAGTTTTTTGGGATGGGGGGACAGGTTTCCCAAGGTTTCCATTCCCTTCTGGAGGCTGTGTGTCCTGCAGGGAAACAGAGCAGGGATCCTGCAGCACGGGCTGCCTGTGTCCAGGGAATTGAGTGCAATAGGGCATCCCAGGGCAAAGACAGCTGGTGGATCCATGTATTTCCTGTACATCCAGGAGAGGAATTCCCAATTCCTGCAGGACTCCAGCACTGACCTGTACTCTGAGTCCAGGAGCATCCTGCTCCCAGCACTGTGTGCCAGAGCCAGCCCAGGGCTGAGCCCTCTTTAGCTGCTGGAAATCCATCAGGAGCAGTGCTGGATCTCCAGCAGGGAGGGAAGTACTGGGGAAGCACCAGCATTGCCTCAGGTACCTGCAGGGTCACCTTTGCTGGAGAAGGACCCAGCACCAAACCCAGTGAGTAACACCTGCAAGTGACAGCAGGATTTGAGATCCTCCCCCCCACAAACACTCCAACCTCTTTCCCCTTTCTGCAAGGCTGTGGATACAGAAAGGTGCAATATTTGAGGATATTTAGGAATAGTCTGACCCTGTGAACAAAAACATTAAGGCTGTTTCTGGGTGGTTTTTGGGGATTGTATCACTGCTAGCAGCACAAGAGCTCCTTGCCTGCTGCAGACTCAAAGGAGCTTGATCCCAAGGTTCTCTGTTTCCTGGACATGTCTGGAAGGGAGGCCTGGCACTGCTGGGGGCTGCAGGGCTCAGCCACAGTAGGGTCAGTTCAGGGGGTCCTTGATCCTCCAGGAAACAGGACCTGGTGAGCTCTGTCAGTGTCCCCTAGGGCTGGTGGCACATCAGCAGTGTCATTTCAGGTTCAATCTGCCAGGGAAAGTGCCAGAGCTCCTGGGGGTTCAGGTGTCTCATCAGAGTGGGGGTCAGGTTTGTCTGCTGCATCCCCCCATCCCTGCTGGAAGTGTTGGGGATCCCTCCTGTGGCCCTGACTCTGCTGCTGGCCACTGTCCCTTTGCTGGGGACAGCTTGGCCTGGCCCAAGGATGAGCACCATGGTCCCCAAGGTGCTCCCTGGTGTCCTCAGCAGCTCTGGGTGCAGCTCCCATCAGGGACAGAGATGAGGAAATCTTAGATGTGCCAGTGCTCCTGAGGCCTCTGCACTTCCCTGTCCTGCTTGAATCCACCACCCCGGATTGGAGCTGCCCTGGGGATCAAGGAAAGCTCCTCGGGGGGGTGAAGCATCCCTTGGGCACAAGCAGGAGCCCTGGCCCCGGCCCAGAGCAGAGCCAGGGTGGTCTCCCAGCAAAGATCCCCCTTCTCTGGCCTCACAGTGGCTCCAGGAGCACCCAGCTTATCCAAGTGCACGGAGCAGTGTCTGTCCTTGCAGGGACCCCCAGCACAGCCAGGCTCTGCTGTGCTGTCCCTGCTCCAGGATGCCTGGGCACTCCTCTCCAGAACTATTTTCAGCCAAATAGGCTCCAAGGATCCAAATCTAATTTTAGTGGCTCTTTTCATGCACTTGGAAAAGGTTTTCTCAGCGACTTTTCCTTCCCAAAACAGTTTGTGGTGTGTTCTCTCCAGTGGGGCTGGAGTTTGGGCAGGTGGTTGTTTTTGTTCAGGGTTTTAAACCAGCACCTTACCCTGTCAAACACTCCTCTCAGGGATCTTGGTATCCGTGGCTAAATCCATGCCAGGACAGAAATCCCTCTGGGTTCAGTTGGTCCTGCAGCAATCCTGGAGAAGAGAATTTCCACCCCATAGAGAAAACCAAGCATAAACTCCAGGCACTCAGAATTCTGGAGAAGGTTTTGACCTCTGATGCTTTCTGGAAATGAAAGAATTCCAGGGTTCTTTGGGGTCGTCTTTGTACATTTGTGTAGCTTCAACAAATCTGTGTAAATTCTGTGCTGATCTGTAAAATATTGTGCAGAGAACTTTTAAAGTAATTGTAAAATATTAAAAGTTGGTTTATTTCCAGTACAGGAGCAGTAATTGGGTCAAGGAATTCCTGGGTGGGTGGGAGGCACAGGAGGAGGCTCCAAATCTTTCCAGAGGAGCTGACCTGGGAGCAGGAAAAGGCTCTGAGAGTCATTTGCACCGGGATTTTTCCTTCAGCTGCTCCAAAGGCTCGGGCTCACAGGTGGGGTAACCTGGGATTAACCTGCAGGTACAACCTGCACAGTCTTTAGCAAATAAGTTATTTTTTTCCACCCTCACAGGAGATGCTGCCCAGACTTGAACACTCCATGGTTTATTATTATCATCTTTTTATCTCCTTATTATAATTTTTTTTTAAAGACAAAAAAAAAAAAAGGAAAGAAAGGGTTGGAGATGACTCAGTTTAGAGAAATGAAAAAGGCAACTTCAATCCCACCAAACAAAGCTTGGCTTTCCCTCTCCCCAGATCTTCTATATTTGCTGGAGCTGGACTAAAAATAGACCTGGGCTGAAGGCCAGGGTAGAAAATAGAGCCACAGCACCAAAAGTGTTTGGTTTGTGACCTGTTCCCTTCCAACCTGGAAGGAAATCACCCAGGCCTAGGTTTGGCCAGGTGCCAGGGGTGGCTTTCCCTGCAGGATGGGAGTGGGGCTCGGACAGCTCTGACCCCCCGCTCCCCTCGGCCCCAGCTGCTCTGAGAGCAACCCTGGGAGGGGGAACGGAGCGGGGAACACGTCCCTGAACAGTGGCCAGGGCAGGAGGAGCCAGCCTGAGCTCCCCTGGCCCGGGAGGGTGCAGGGCAGGGGCTGAGATCGGAACCGAACGAGGAGGAGGAGGAGAAACAGCCCCGACCCCGTTGGCCCCACTCGCTGTCCCCCTGGCACTGCCACACCCCCAAGTTTGGGCACTGCCATCGTCCCCAGGCATTGCCACCACTCCTCTGGCACTGCCACTGTCCCACTGCCACTGTCCCACTGTTCCCCTGGCACTGCCACTGTCCCACTGCCACCACTCCTCTGTCACTGCCACTGTCCCACTGTTCCCCAGGCACTGCCACTGTCCCACTGCCACTGTCCCCCTGGCACTGTCACTGTCCCACTGCCATTGTCCCACTGTCACCACTCCTCTGGCACTGCCACTGTCCCCACTGTCCCCCCTGCCTGGGGCAGCTGGGGGCAGCTGAGGGGCTCTGAGGGGCCGGAGTGTGAGCAGCAGGAGGGAGCCAGCCCCGCGTGGGTGTCACAGCCGTGTGACCTCGGTGAGGAGCTGCCACTCACGGCAAGGGTTCGGGTGGCAGCGGGATCTCCAGAGAAAAGAGAGCTGTGGCTGCTCCCATGGCAGGACAGTCCCTTCCTGGGCAGCAAGGTCCTCTCCAGGCAGGGAACCCCCTCTGCAATTAGTGCTCCAGTGAGCTTTTTCTGTTTCATTGAATCCCAGACTGGTGTGGGTTGGGAGGGACCTCAAAGCCCACCCAGTGCCACCCCAGCCATGGCAGGGACACCTTCCCCTGTCCCAGGCTGCTCCCAGCCCCAATGTCCAGCCTGGCCTTGGGCACTGCCAGGGATCCAGGGGCAGCCCCAGCTGCTCTGGGGACCCTGTGCCAGCCCTCCCCACCCTGCCAGGGAACAATTCCTGCCCAAAATCTCATTCATTCCTGCCCTCTGACAGTGGGAGCTATTCCTTGGGTCCTGTCCCTCTATCCCTTGTCCCCAGTCCCTCTCCAGCTCTCCTGGAGCCCCTTTAGGCACTGGAAGGGTCTTTGAAGTCTTCCTGGAGCCTTCTTCTCTTCAGGGGAACACCTCCAGCTCTCCCAGCCTGGCTCCAGAGCAGAGGGGCTCCAGTCCTCAGAGTATCAGGAGATCACTTCAGGAGACAGTTTTTCCATGTGAGGAAGATTCAAAGTGCTTCAAAACCTCTCTGTACCCCACCCATGCACAGAAGTGACCAGGCAGGGCTCCAAAATACCTGTAAATCCCAGAGCACAGCATTTGCAGGAACAAAGAGCTCGTTTGTCCCTGGCCTGCTACGCAAGAGGTTCTTTCTCTGCTTCAGTTTGGTTCTTCCTTTTTTTCCCCCAGCCTTCTGACTGAAGGCTTTGTGTGACCTGGCTCTTCCTCTCTGCATGGCCAGGAGCTGATGTTATCTGGGGGGATTTGGCAGTTCCCTGTGCTGCTCTGAGGGCTTCTGTCATCTGTGTTTTAGTGTTTAATTACATCAGAAAATATGGGGAACCAACCTCCCCCTTCCATGGGCTGCCACAAGGAAATGCGGCCCTACAGCAGGAGGGTTAATGGTGCTGTGGCAGAGATGGAAAAGGCAGGAGGGGAAGGGATAGGGTGAGGCTAAAGGGTCCCAACAGGACCCTTCAGTGAGAGGGGTTTTTGGCCTGGGATTTCGGACTTGGTGGCAATGAGTGGGCGTTGGGTGTGTGCTGTGGGCAGTGTCTGAGGGAGCTCTCTGACCTCCCCCTGCTCTGCACAGGGGGACAGAGCCCAGTTCTAGGGTAAAACTGGATGGTGAAGGCTTGGGGCCTGCAGTGACCAGCTGGGAGGGGAGGAGTGCAAATATCCAGGACAAGTGGGAGATCCCGGCCCTGAAAGACGCCGCAGAGCAAGAGCACACCCGACAAGGAGCGGCCCTGGAGCCCCTGCCACTCCTCCCATCCTATGCAAAGTGTGGGGCTCGCCCCCCAGTCCTGCCAGAACCCTCTTCCCTCTGGAATTTGCATGGAAAACAGGAGAGCGCAGCAGGTCCTGCCCGTGCCACAGCTCCTGCACGCTGGGAAACTCCTGCTGAGGAGGGACAGACAGAGGTGGCACCAGGACAGGGGAACAGGCAGGGGACAATGCACCACTGAGCAGCAACGCCCCAAACCTTCCCCTGGGCTCTTGAAGGCGCCAGTTGTGACCCTGGCAGGGACAGACATCATCCCGTGTGTGCCCGGGCCACACTCCCTGCCCGCGGGGCCGTGTCCCTGTGAGTGACCGCAGGGCCGGGGACGTTTCCATCGCTGCTGCTGCTCGCGGAGCCTTCCTGCCCCGGGCGGCTCTGCAGGGGGATGCGGGCCTCGGCACCCGAGCAGCGACACGGAACTGGCGAGGGTCGCTGATATCCCGAGCTGCCTCCTCCTGCCTTTCTGTCCCACTCAGGAAGGAAGGAGGTTATTTTTAAACCTGGGGCCAGGTACGGAGCGGTACCAAAGGCTTTTCCTCGTGCAAAAGAAACGGGAAGTGATGCGGCGTCAGCTGCAGTTCCCACGTTCCCTCCAGAAGGATTTTCTTCCCCAAACCACTTCTCAGCAAAGCTCAGAGCCTCAGACCCTGCTCTAGGTACCAGGTGGGGCGAGAGGCCGATCCGGCACGGCCGTGGGCCACAGGTGGGGACAGCTCTGGTCGTGGCAGTCGCTGGCTGGCGAGGTTCCTTGGGATGGGGTTGCCCTGGGCACGGTGCCCAGCGGAGCCAGGGGCACACGCGTGGGGCACACCGGGCTCCAGCCAGGCGGGCAGGGCTGGCCTCACCCCAGCCTGCCCACACCCCACAGGGAGCAGCGCTCAGCTCCGTATTTGGGCTGGGTCTGCTGGGCCCCCATACCCCTCCCGTGTGCCAGCCCTGGACTGGGCCGGCCTGAAAACGGATCCCAGGGCACCACCAGAGCCCCGAGCAG